TTAATAATAATTTTTTTACTAACGGTATTAAAATAATTATATTAAATTATTTAAATTATTTAACTGCTTATTAATGGACATTCTGTGCATGTCCTACTAGAGACTACATATGGGGATTATTATCAATTAATACTTGTTTCAAAAGTACAGATTATCACAAATTTTTAATAGTCAAATAGGGATTTCATTCAAGTCAATTATCAGCAACTATCGTAAATAATGATATTAGCTGACATTCATATAGACAGTTAAGCTTTTGAAACACGATAGCAATACACAATTTGTAATTTTAAATAAATAATAATAAAGATAACTGCAATTTAAAATAATTTTATGCAGTAATATTGATTAACTTTGACTTTAAAAAATAATTTCTGAACAAAAATAAGTTGAAGTTTATTATTACAAAACGAAAAACAAAATAATAACAGTGTCTTCAATTATATGATTATGATAGAAAGTGTCTTCAATTATGATTCAAAAAAAAAAAATTATTAATTCAATGATACTTGTATATTTTCTTTTTCATTATTAAAAAATATTTTTGTTTTTTTTTCATTAATTTATAAGGCAGCAAATCTTAAAGGTACAGCCCGCCTAAGCTTCGAATACATCACTGATCTGAATTGGATTTAAACGCCTTCTACAGTAATAGTACAATGCTTCTCAAAGATGAGAAAGGTTATGAGACCTTTTCCTTCTCAAAGATGAGAAAGGTCGTTATATAAGCAAATCCAAGCTGTTGCAATCGTGTTTTACACTATTTGTTAGTAGATAAGAGTGGATATAAGACACGTTCACATACTAAACAATGGTCCTATGGGACCTCTCAATATTGATTCTGGTGTTATGTCTCCTGTTCTAACGTTCTCTACATATATCTCTATAAGAAAAGACTAAACCAATTACAACACTATTGTTAAGGAGTTAAGGAGTTTACACAGACAGCTCAAAACTTGAAAATGAGTTGAGAATATGCCAACGGTATTCTCCGATGAATTCGACCTAAAACTACACTTCCAACTAACTATACACCTTGGAATGTAATGACATAAACCTAAGCATTTTTAGTGACAGCTAAGCTGTCATTATGCCACTTGGTGATGTTTTCGCTACATCTAAGCTTATATCAGGTTATAGTGAATATCTAAGGGATATATGAATGCATTCAATGGTTAACCTAAAATGGGTTCCATCTCATACCAAATATAAAGCTAATGAAATGAATAGAAGTAGCACACGCCTTCCCAGTACATCAATCATTTAAGATATAGGCACTACTTTAGCTTCAATAAAACATCTAAACTTGTATCAGTATGTCATTAATTTTTAAATAATATCTAGATGCATTTAATTGTTGACCTAAAATGGGTTCTGTGTCGTTGCAATTATAAAGAAGATGAATTGACCAGAAGTAGCACACGATTTTTCAGTAAATAAATCATATAAGATATAGAAATCACATTAGCTTTAGTAAAACTGATGATATGTATAGAAGATTTTAATATGATGTACCAAATATACTACAATGAATACACTCGCTAATGTAATGAACCAAAGGTAACTAAACAATTATTAAGGCTTGCTCTTCATTAGATTAGAGGCTTTCTCCAGTCACTACTGTCGTAATTGTGGATCAAAAGAGGAAAAGAAAAATAGTATGTATTTACTTTGTCACTCGCCGAAAGTTACACATTCACCTCTAGGGACACTCTTTGAAAAATATCTGTTGAATATCGTATGGTATTAACATTTAGCCTGTTTTATTAAAGAGATAAAGTCATTTTCTGGTCAAGCAGAAGTTTCTCTTAAAGGAGTTCATGTTTCTATTTATTTATATACAATATATATATAAACTATGTTTCCTTAAAAATTATACTGAAATTATTCCATATCAATTCGTAACACAAGCAAAAACGTGTACTCTAGTCTATCTCTAGTACTCCAGTCTATTTTACTATTCTAATTTTTTTGCATACCTTCTGCTCAAAAAGTACTTTTTGTACGTATTTTGTAAATAAAATACACAAATTTAAATTTTATTCCAAATTTATTTTATCTCCTTCAAAATATGCTCCTTCTGAAGCGATACACATATGCCAACGCTTAACCTAATCTTCCATACACTTTTTGTAGGCCCGTGAAGGTATGGCTTTTATTTCCTTCAGCGAATTCTCTATTACCGATTCAATTACCGACTCTATTACCACGAAGGGGCAAT